ATATAAAAATTACTCATGGTTTTATATGTAACGTGCACCCTTATGGTAGCGTGCGTACACGCCGGGCTCTCAATTTTCAAAGTTGGTATTTTGATGGTTCCGTGTTGTTTAGATTGATCTGATTCAGGAACATAAGCCTTCTTTCTTGTATTGACGTGGATTTACATGTCCTTGTTTTGTCCTTGTTTTATCCATAAGTTCGAAATAATGTTCATGTTTTAATACCACATGACAACAAGATGTCGCCCAAGGTCGGTAAAAAGGTGTAAGAAGAACGCATCAAATCCAAGATCATCCAGATGACTTAAGATATTAAGAACTTATTGAAATTCCGATTCTGCTATTGATAAGATATGAATATGTAATATTGTTTGAGATATTATGCCTGAACAGTGAAATTAACGCATGTCAAACATTAACTCTAAGTCGGCAATAGTACAAATGGTAAAGGGGGGACAACTCGGAATGTAATACGCTTCTTCTAATTTCGGTCCTTTACTTGGATGATTATCATGAAGACAAAATATCCAGAGGACAGTTAGGTACTTTCTTTAGTTATTCTTTACCTTTTACGTTATCTGCAGGTCTGACAAATCCGTCTCCGACCACTGCAGATATTCTAAAATCTAAATTTAAGATTTGAGAACCATACAACACGATAGCTATTATATGTTCATAGTCAATTAATAAACCTAGTATATCACAACTTTAAATGAAACGTTTTTTATTTCTTGCTAATTTTTTTTTTTTTTCATTTTATTACTGGTTGCTGTACTTGCAAGAACATTATTCCACAACCTCAAAGACATCTCCTTGGATGTAAATAACAAGTAGGTATATCATTTTATTTTAGAACATAACGATTCACGGCCTACAGTCTCCTCAATGAGCGCTACTTAATTCCTTTCTGAAATCGATGAAAATAACAAAATATCAAATAACAAGGGGATTCTTATTTCATAAATTTTGAAAAAAATTTCGGGATCATAATTTTTTTCTTCATATTTATCTATTTTAACATACCCTCAAATACATCTACTGGATAAAATTATATTTTTTTTGTTGTGTCAACAATTCGACAATAACAAATTTGAAACGATTTCCACTTCTTCTATTGATTAGGGTTTGCCGGTATGGGACCAAAGTAAGGATATCCTTCACATGCACAAGGGATAATAACTCGAGGATACAGAACACTGTCACTTGAAATCTTTGATAAATCACAATAAGCTATCGTTGTTATCAACTAAAGATCCCTGATTGTAGATTGAATACTGCCTTTTGTACTATGTTACTGCATATACTTTTCGATCAAACATGTAACCTGTGTTGTTTTGTGACAAGACAGACGTTCATTTTTTTCTGTCGTTGATGTTTAATATTGTATTCATTGGTGCTCCTTCCTACAAAGTACGATTTCTTGAATATAATTCAGTATTCTTGGTTGTCCGCGGTAAACTTATCAGTTTTTTGCAATACGTCTAACAGACTTTTTATGATACTGACTGATCACATTAACAACAAACATATTGTTACTGGCTCGCCTTATACTGTATGGTAAATAACGAAGTCGACCATTGTTTATTTATGGTTTGTAGTGTCTAGTTGTAGGCATTTTTCTTCTGAAAGTCGACCCTTAGTTTCGTGACGTTTAAACACTGGTACACTGGTGTAAACCGGTACTTACCGAACAATTATTTTACTGTTTAAAAGACACGTAGAGTCACTGAAAGAGGCATTTCATCAAAACAAATACGTAGATGATCAACTTGTAACCATAATACACTGTACAATATTGTCTAGTATGTGACACAATATTTTTCATATGCTAATGGTGAACTACGCAAAACAAATAGAAAGCAAGAATATTTGTTTGGTTATGCAGAAAGTGTTTTCACATATGGACAAACCTTACACAAGGTGGATGGTATAAATTCATGGTTTTATATTGGCTATTACTTGTACTGAAGCCTTGGACAAAACAATTTCTAAAACAGATATGGAGAATACCAGGTATACAACTAAAAGTACACCAGCAGTATCTACCACCTACGATTGCACAAAAATGGACAAATGATTTACCTTTTGATAAAGCAACAAAGAATTTTTAAAAATGTATTTTTTTTAAATACTGCCTACCATATTATCAACAAAAACTATCTTACCCTTTTTATGAACTTCATCTCTTAACATTCTTTGATTTACATACTACATGATACGTCGTGATAGAGAATTCGAAGAAAAATGACATGTTTAAATTAGAATGAACATTCGTTCCATCAAGCGAAACCTGGCAATAATCAAAGTAGTTTCGGTGTATATATACATAAAATAAAAACGAAATGAATACGTGATGTAATTTCTTAATCAACATATATTTGTATTAGATTTCACTAATTATATAGTTCTAAATTAGATCTATTGATACACCCTTGCTTTTAAAAAGTATGTCGATAGGTTGTAGTATTACAATAACTGATTATTTATTTCGCAGTGGCAGATGGTATGTATTTATGAAGAAAGTTCCGCCATTATAAGCAGTGTATACTTGTTCATTACAATATGAGATGTTTAAATACCTCCAAAATGATGGCATTTAGATGACCTGGCTGATTGTCCCGACACTGAAAGTATCAAACTACAAGGTCACTTAATGTGTACTTTGGTGACATATATAAATAGTTACATGTATGTTTTCTGAGTGCAGAGTTAATTGTTCCGAGAAACCTGTACACACTTTGTATATGAAAGAAACGGAGCTTTCTTTCTTACAGTCTATTGTTGTATTAATATGAATATGAATAACACGCATCATCATTACCACAAAGACTTTGTATATGATATCATTCTCAAGTACCGCTTTGATACGTGTTGATTATTTTCGGATGTCTATATTCAAGATGGCTACATATAGGCCAGTTTTTACTGACAATTCCCTTCTGTTGACACAGTATATAGTCATGATTTATTTCTGTACATCATGAAATGAAAACTTGACAAAAGCAAATTCAACTTGAAGTGTTAACAAGCTTCACTTGATTCTCTCTTGCAGTTGGCTTGCATCTTATCCATGGATTTCAAATAAAAACAGGTCAATGACTTAATCGAGTAATATCTAACTATGATATACGCTGTGTCTTAGTCGTTAATATCAAAACTAGATACTGAAAATAAACGAACACAGGCATATAGTTTATTTTCATTTTACTGATATGAAAAAGTTAAAAATTGAAGACATTTGTTATTCCAAATTCCATACACACCATATCCATCAACATAAATAAGTAACATGGTCTCAATGTCACTGCTCTGTTTACATGTATAGCCGTTTCTGTGGAGCATGTTTTGCCAATTTCAGTGTATATACAACGGGGTTAAAATTACAATATCGATTACTTAATGTACACACGGTTCTACATAGTAATACTCTCTGAAGAATAACAACGATATTTCGAAATCAGCCTCTATGATAATAGATGCTTAAAACTCGATTATGTTCCTTTATTCATTCATTGATCAAAGATACAATATATACTGCCAAAACATTCTATATTGAAAAAAGTTTATTATACATAGTTTAATACATGTTTACAAACACGTTTTCTTTTCATACCAATATGTATATGTAAATGACCCAATATTGGTACTGGATCCTAACAAACAAATGTTCGTTGAATGCGCCTAACTGGAATAGGTATATGATCGATGAAGTAATAACGAAAGTGCAGACGAGTAAATTGTAAAATTGCTTCATAGTCAGTAAATAAATTCCACGATCCCAGATTAAAACAGGGTGCATCAACGGAACCTCGGGGACTTATAGCACTGCCGAAGATTGTACAAAAAGATACAAGTTAAAATGATATTTTAATATGAATTTACAGTTTGATACAGTAGAGTCAATAAGGAATTTTTTGAAAAAATAAAAGAATTAGCTTGATTTTTCGTTTTGGATTCCTCCTCTCAATCAACTTGGAGCCAAGACTCATCATTTTTTCTTCCTTCAAGGATGCTTCTGACCAAATCTGGCGCCACAATATTTCATGAACCAGGTTACATGTAAATGAATCATACTTTAATCATATTGCATTTACGTAATTTTTTTTCCAGGTAGGGCTTAGACACACAAGTATTTCGCTGGTATATTAATTTGTGGTAGGTTGTTCATGGAAGAATGAAGTACGAACACCCATACCGATATCATAATTGCAACGAACCAAATGAATACAAGGGTAATAAGGTCAACGTTTTGCAACAACGATAGACCGGGTATTATTAATCTAACAGTCCTCATAATTTCGGAAGTGTTCAACAATGGAAAACGCGATTAAGATTATAATACAATGTATGCGAGATCTGAAAAAATATCCAAGACAAATACCAGGGATATGTCTTTGCAGAGAAAACTTTTGTGTAATTGTGTAATAAAATCACAATAAGAGAAACTTTACGATATTGCCAACGGACACCATTATTAATATGTACCAATTCTGTCACAAGACAGAGATACACTTAATTTCATATAGATGTACTTGCATTGGATACAATATCTATTAATTATACCAGTCAAAACAACCCATTAAACAAGGTGAAAAAGTATCTACATATGTTGTATGTCGCAGTAATATACTTTGGTATCGAAAACAGATTATTACATTGAAAATGAATTACAAAAGCATGGATTTATATTTAAAAAGGGGCATGGACAATGTCCATACTCACTGATATATACAGATATTGAAAATAAAACAATCTTGAAGAGTCACATTTCTTTTCACATGACGCATACATGATTTTCCAAAGCGTATTGAGTTTAGTATTCAACATTTTAATGCAATCAATAATGCCTTAGCAAATCAGTTTCCTTTCGATCAGATGGTACCCTGCAGTTAACAATATCTCCCGGTTCAATTTACGAAAACCTGTTCATAGTTTTGCCACTAATGTTACTTCAAAATAGATTCCATCGCTTTTCTCAAGTGCAAGTGAATGTTTGCATGCTACAGAAAGTCAAATGTTGCGCTAACCTTCTCTCCAGTAGCTATGTTAGTAGCTCCTACTTCGAACTCTGTATTACTGAACGTCATCTGTACGGCAACAAACCTGTTACATCCTTTTGAGGTGTCCGGAATGGCAATTATCAAATGACCAATCCTGCTACATCCAGGCTCTGTTACGTACTTTGGATTTTTCTGTGTAGAAACATACAATGGAAATAGCAAAGCTACTTGATCTGGTTCAATGGGGTGATAAATATTAACAGCTTGTGGTTGGCCGATATTCACGCAATCTCCAATACAAACATGAACATCAAATAAGTCTTGACAATACTCTTTTCCGGTTGAAGCGGTGAAGCGTTTGGAGGGATCATGCTTCTTAGCATCAAATGGTCGTTTAGCGCATATCCCATAAGTGTATTTACAAACACGTGACTTGATAGCCCTTGGCTCATGACCGAAGATAACAGCCCCTTTCAGAACGGCCAGTCCTGGATCCTGTGGTACTATCATTCGCAGGTTTGGAAAGTTTGTTTTGATTGCATCCTGAAGTACTAGGGACTCCGAGAAGCCTCCGACCATCAGAATGCTCTCCACGCCTCTAGCATTTGGGTCTCTTAACAGCGTCTTCAAGTGGGTAACGATATGGTTAATCGGATCCTTGAATAATTCTTTTGCTTGATTTCCACTGACTCTAAGCTTATCACCGACGATGGTTAAGTTTCCTCTGTATTTCGATTTCGAAGTTATAATTGTGCTTATATCCTTCCCGGTCACATCTTTGCATGCCACGTTCATTGCAGTCGGTACTTTAAATGTGACTTTTTCATTAGACGGACCATTTGGTTTGATCGTGCGCTTTTTGACTTCGAAATCACGGAAGAATTCTACCATATCGGCCTTGCTGTTTTCAAGAAAACGATGAAATGCGTCATTACCTATAATTCCGGATAATAAAATCTGGAAGGCGTTATCCACTTTGGTCCCTCCCCAGTCTCCACCATTGGCCTTGTGGATTTCCTTCAATGATCCATCGCTTTGAACTTCGTGTACAGTAACATCTATGGTCCCGCCTAGAAACAAATAAAAACTCAAAGTCGACAGTATGCTTTCATTATTTTGCTGTAGTTTTTTTTTATTTCGGCGTAGTTGCTGAGCTACCCATTAGGGACGAGGGGATGTTTCAATAAACAAGGTAATGTCAGGTCATACCGCCAACTTCGTTCATCAAACACTCGGAAAGATAAAGATTTCTGTCAAAGATGATGTATGTGTTATTAAAATGTATAAGCTATATTCTTTGACACTATAGTCATGTCATTTATATATATTATCCTTCTACATTGCTAGGTAAAAATCGGCTGCTACCCGATTTATATTTGATTCACTTCAGGGGGGGGGTTGGATCAATAAAAAGGATGCATAATTGCAGCTAAGTGTATCGATTCCTTCAGTATAACGTAATTGTCGGAGCGTCACGATTACCGAGTAGTAAAGGCGTCTTATCGTCTTTAGTACTAGCCTTCGACTCCTGAGTAACTTTTACCCATATTTTATATCAAACCTGTACACCATGAAAAACGACCAGTAAATACTGACATGGCAACAGAATCAATTCAAAACTCAAAGTTTTACCCATATTTTATATCAAACATGTACACGATGAAAAACGACCAGAAAATACCTACATGGCAACAGAATGAGAAATATATAGGTATGTAAATCGTGATTATATAGTTTATTGCCGCTATTTTGTGATACTTCCAAACGATCACAAAAACTTAGTTCGTGAAAGAATAAGACACATATGTATACCATGTCTCATTTGGATGGAGTAAACTGTTGTAAGATCCTGTATATTGCCTAAAATCAATACATTTAAGAGCAAATAAACATTTTTTAATTGAGGGGTTATTCGTTATACACACCACCACCGTCCAACACCAAGTACTTCGACCCAGAGGTGAAAGTCTTCATGCCTCCCTCTCCTTTTCGTTCAATAGGAATATACTTGCAGTATAAGGACGCCGCCTCAGGTTCTAGAGCTATCATCAAATGATCTCCTTTGATACCAGCCTAGAAACATAACCAATATGGCCTTACAAAATCATACAAAATGCTGGTTAATAAATGTCGTCTTTACGTATCTTTACTTATCCCTTTTAACAAGTTATGGTAGTTTTATCGAATGAATTCAATCTTACCTCCACGGCAGCCTCTCTCATGAACTGTTTGGAGGCATCGGACCAGATTGCCGGAACAGTGAGGACCCACAGTATATCTGATATGTTTATGTCTGTCACTTGTTTTTTGCAGAACTCCATCATCTGATCCTTGAGATATTTTATGCATGCTGAAAACACCTTCATTGCAGGCATGGTGTGACCCTGGTCATCTTCTATCTTGAACGACCGGTTTAGATTCTACAGAAAAGATTTATTTATATAGAATAAGTCCTGTAAAACATCTGAAATAAAACCATGTGAATAAAACAAAACAAATGTCGTCTTACAATGACACTTCGTCATAAGTTAGGATCAATACATTTCAATATCAGTTTTTATGAAAACCTATATTCTACTTATTTTGCTATTTCCTTTTGTGTTTTGTTTCATGTCGTAATCCACGGGTGATACACCAAACCTCGGACAAAATACAAATTTCCTCTGCCACCTGAAGCAGTGTTTGCATGAGTGTCACTAGTAAATCGTGCACGTGCTCCTATTGTATTTTAAAATAGAACGCCAAAAACATATGCAGAAAGATGGCAAGCTTCTGGAATTGTTCAAGGTTGTATAACATATAGGCAAGTAGCTGCATGTTTATTTGTCAACCACTTTTCTCGGTAAATGCAACGTCTGAACCACGTAGGCATGTTGATGAGCAGTCCTTGTCTAGCAGATTTCAGTATATGTCGACAGGCAAGGTGAGTCCTATTCATCACTGCCAACATAATCAGCGGACAGTTGAACGTTCATGTTAACCGGCGTACCGTCAACAAAGGACTTCGTTCTCGCCGACCAATAAAATTCTGTTGAGTGGGAGACGCACACAAGCAAGACTGTGATGAACACGTGATCACCAGGGTTCTTGTTTGTTTGATGACCAAGAAATATATCATAACACATTATAATTTTTGGGAACAACAGCATTTGATGGTGGCAGTGTGTCTGTTTAGGTATGCTTTTCTATAAACTGGAAAATGGGCAAAAGTACCGTGAATAGTTCGTTCGGACTCCAGTTCCGTATTTTAATGCCCATTTATAGGCACATGGGCTCATCTTAATGGATGACAATGCCAAACCAAACAGCGACCACCTAGTGCAAAACTCATCAACAAAAAATAAGTGATAGAGAAGTTCCCCATTCCTGTTATGTTACTAGACATGGACCTTATCACGGACAGTGGACGGCATCGAAAATACCAAACAATGGAATAATCAGGGGTTGCATTGATTCAGGATTAGTTTGCCGAAAACGTGTCTGGTTACTATGAATCACTTATATTTCGCATGTGATTCATTTTCGCTTTAATACGCGAGAAGAGTCAGTCGCCAATCATGTATTGATGTATAAGTTCGCAAAAATAAAGTATTCGCGAAGCGAAATCTTTGCTATTTACAGTATATCATTTCAAAAAGACGTGCACCAAACAAGTATTCTGAAAAAAAAAAAACGTTTGCTAATAGTCTTTCAGGTTCTGTAAATGTCTATCGACTACATATATTTTTGTTATATGCCTCAAACGTGCTGAGTTACCATTGAATATCTTTTCCTAAACAATACTAACAAAACTATGTCCAATCTAAGATATGGGTTATCCCAAACTTATGGCCAAGTGTATATATACAAATGTTACAGTAACAAAACCTTTCCTTGTCGAATTCAAGATCTCGGTTTATCAGAAGTCTTTTGCTCAAGTACAAGGCTTTTACCACAACACACAGATATCATTTTGTACTACTGTATTATATATACTAAAACGAAAAAGAAACGCCGTGTAACCTAAAAAGATTATTTTAAATGATATAATTTAATGTTACATTATTTCATTCATTTTTGTATACAATTTCATCTGTTTGGAACCATTTGTTGAAGGTTCTATCGATTATCAATGCTAATTATGCCAAAAATATCTGACTACTTGTATTGCGCAACACGGCCGGACATTTCAGTATCTTGTGTTTCCTCCATGCGCAGCTGTCCCAGCCCTGATTCTTCTATGCATGGAATTCATCAGGGTGTTAACCCTTGCAATGGGGATTTATTCCATTCTTCATGCAAGGCACGTGTGAGCTGGACCAGATTAGTGGGGGCATTTGGATGTCTCCTAACTCTCCTATCCAATTCGTCCCACAAATGCTCAATTGGAGACAAATCTGGACTGAATGCTGGCCAATCGATTGGGATTACGTTATTGTTGGCAAGAAATTGCTGACAAACTCTAGCGACATGGGGCCGGGCATTGTCTTGCTGGAATATCAGGTTCCGTGCTTGCACACATGGCACGGCAACTGGGCGAAGGATTTCGTCTCTATACCTTACGCCGGTTAAATTACCGTCAATCACGATCAGGGGTGATTTAAACCCATTGGAGATACCGCCCCAAACACATACTTAACCACCGCCAAACCTATCCCGCTCAGCGACGCACGCGTCGGTGTAACGTTCCCCTCGACGTCGATATACACGACGTCGCCCGTCCGAACGGTAGAGAGTGAACCGGGATTCGTCAGTGAAGAACACCCGTCTCCATTGCCTCATAGGAAAATTTCTGGGCGAGTGTGCTTGTAACCAAGCGACGCGCAGGAGTTAGGGGCAGACCAACATAGGGACGTCGGGCTCTTAGGCCATTGACGCGTAATCGGTTTCGAACCGTGTCAGGAAGAATATGGCGGTTATGACTGCCTATAGTGTTATTTGCAGTTTCGGTAGCTGTGAGATGGCGATTACGTCAGTGAGAAAGTCTTATAAACCGATCCTGATGTGGCGTCGTGACGCGCGGACGTCCACTTCGCGGTCGGTCGATGACCCTCCCCGTCACTCGCACACGTTGGACAAGACGTTGAATTGTCCGAATATGCACACCAAAATGTGCAGCAACCTGAAGTTGGCCCTGACCCTGTAAAAGCATTCCTTTAGCCTGTCCCCGCTGGACTTCCGTCAATCGTGGCATGGATGTAAACTGCTTAATTCGAATCAAACTTTGAAAAATCAATCCGAATACTTGAACAGTATCAAATAAACCGAACATTTCCATTGGCGAACTCAATGACCTTCCCCTGCACGGGATTCTTGTATTTTAGCACGTGCCTCGAACGGAGCGCGGAGGTCAGATATTATGTGATTTTAAACACGTGTACCTAGTGACCACGAACAACACATCAACCTGACCGAGTGTCATTATTCTAGGCCAAGCAATAAATCATTTGTAGTATATTTAGTGTACCCGGCGTTTCTTTTTCGTGTTAGTATATATATATATATTCGGTAAACATTGAACCATTAAACTATTAGGTTATTTAGGGGACTGCGTTTTCACTGAGTCAGTACATGAATCCATATCAAATGTGAGGTTTTCATACATTTTCCAGACTTAATCATACACATAAATACTGTATCAACATTTAAGGAAATAAATCAAGCTGGCTTTTTAAATACCTTGTTCTCATAAAGCTTCATTTTAAATCGTCGGAAGTAATACCATCCATTTTGTTTCTTGTCTAAAGCTAGATCTGAATACTTGTCTTCAGCCTCAAAACCAAAAGAGTGGAAGTCTCCGTTTGGTTTAAAGAGAACACACGTTGACGTCTTCAAGGACATTAGACCTCCTGACCCTGCTGCCCAGGAATTGGCTGAAATCTTCAAGGGATCCCGTTCAAAGTCATGGATGAAGGAGAAAGCGTACCCTGAGTATGTGGTACCGAAGTCAATGGCAGCCACCAATAGGTGCTTGTCTGAAGAAGCCATTCTTATTTTCTGAAAATTAGAACGATTCGGTCTGAAATATCTTCATCTTATTATTGTATTCTGATTGGATGAAAATAAAAAACACAAACACGTTACACCTGATCGGCGGAAAATCTACTGTTGTAGTAATATCATTGATGTTCTCTAAAGAGATCGTTCCAAGATATCAAGCTCGGTTTTTTTTTAATCTTATGTTTGTGATAAGAATAAGAAATGTTGCAATGGTATGGTTTGATTTCTCTGATAATATAAATATAGGCCACTATCAAAGAAGGGAAATATTTTATCATAAATGAAATTGTGCAACATTGTTGCATTTTTCTGCAAGTGAAAATATTTCTTGATTATTTAATGTATTTTTCTTGATTTAGTTATTTTATCTTTATCTGGCTTCCATTGGCTGTCGTTCATCTCTGTTGGATGACGTGTCTCTCTGTTGGCTGAAGTGCCCCTCTATTGGCTAACGTGCCTCTCTTTTGCCTGACGTGCCTCTCTATTGTCTGACGTGCCTCTCTGTTGGCTAACGTGCCTCTCTGATGACTGACGTGCCCTTCTATTATCTGACGTGCCCCTCTATTGGCTGACGTGTCTCTCTGTTGGCTGACGTGCCTCTCTGATGGCTGACGTGCCCCTCTATTGGCTGACGTGCCTCTCTGGTGGCTGACGTGCCCCTCTGTTGGCTGACGTGCCCCTCTATTGGCAAACGTGCCCCTCTGTTGGCTGACGGGCCTCTCTATTGGCTGACGTGCCTCTCTGTTGGCTGACGTGTCTCTCTGTTGGCTGACGTGTCCCTCTATTGGCTGACGTGCCCCTCTATTGTCTGGCGTGCCCCTCTATTGGCTGACGTGCCCCTCTATTGGCTGACGTGCCTCTCTGTTGGCTGACGTGCCCCTCTGTTGACTGACATTCCCCTCTATTGGCTGACATGCCCCTCTGTTGGCTGACGTTCCTCTCTGTTGGCTAACGTGCCTCTCTATTGGCTGACGTGCCTCTCTGTTGGTTACGTGCCTCTCTATTGGCTGACGTGCCTCTCTGTTGTATGTCGGGCCTCTCTATTGGCTGACGGGCCTCTATATTGGCTAACGTGCACCTCTATTGGCTGACGTGCCTATCTGTATGTTTTTTTCGTTTACTTTCGAAAATATCATTACAAGAACAAATATTTCATACCTGTTTTCAATAGATGTTCTGTCTTATTCATAAAGATGATTTGCATTATGACAGACTGGTACCTAAATGCACATATGTATAATCTATTCTGAAACTGAAATATGATTTGTGTTTATCTATTCACATTAAGGCTTGTCAATTTGTTACAACTTATTTAAACCCTCGACTAATCTACGTTCCAAGTAGTTATGTACATTCTTGTCAAAGAAAAATGTATGAGTTACACAGTAGACATTTAAAAATTATTTAAATAACCAATTCAAATTGCATTGCAATTAAATCGAATTTCACCAAGATTAAAATCAAAGAGACCCAGTCAATCTTCAACGATGATTAGTAATTTCAATGTCTTACTTTCCTTTAAAAAACATTAAAATAATCGGCTTGTTTCATATCTCAATGGCTCTCCAGCCTATAAGAAATCTCTGCGTTCAGGTACAGAAAAACGAATGACGAGCACATATTAACGATGTGTGCTTACTTTTATATGTATAGATTTATCAACAGCGTAATAAGGTTTGATCGAATAATTGTAGAATTTACCAATATCGTAAGATAGCTTTATAATAGATTTTTTCTGACAAAAAATGCATGTTTGTTTAATGGTCATTGGAGATTGTCGTCCAGTAAGATTTAATTTAGTTGTGTGCTGAGTGGCCTTAAATAATCAGTCGGAACTAACAGAACTTTGTTTTACTGTCGTGCTTTGATTTTCCCAGTGTTCATTTCTTATTTGTTTCACAATGGAATTTTTTGTCATTAAATAAGCCTATTTTATCGATTTATTCAAACAAATAGAAAGTAAACGAAAAGCAGTTTCAAAATACTTTCAAGAACCACATTTAGATTCCATAGGTCACTTTCATTTGTTAAAAGTATTTGTATATCAACACAATGTAAAGTTATAGTTTGTAAACTATGTTCGGTTTACGGTTCATATGCTTACCCTACCTACATCAAAATATAAATTCATTCACTTCCTTGTCAGAACAAGTATGGGTTACCCTGTATTACGCAATAAACATTCAACAGCTAATGATTGACAATTTGCATCGTATTTAAATCGATTTTAACCAGTTACAAAGTTACAGAGACCGAGTCAAACTACAGGGTATCGTGCTGATTAATAATTTTGTTAGATAATGTAAATTACTTGCATCAGATTTCAAGGTGGAAACACATGTCACGACCACCACAACAATCATCAAAAATCTTATTGATATAACGCTGTTTCTTCAATATAAAATATAATAAAGATAAAATTCAACAAGTAGTTAACTTTCATCTAAATTTAACGGTTTGTTGACCTTTCTAATAACATTATACTTACCACAAGTGTCCGACTCGCTTGACAGCGGAAGACTGGTATAACAGTTTGGCCGCCACTTAGCTACATGTTGGCAGGTCTAGGTAGGGTAATTTTCTGAGAATCAGGTCAAGGTCCCTTGAAAGTTTCTTTTGCACTTGTACGTAAGCTATTGTAAGCTATGACATGTCCAACGATAGCCAAGTATGCATGCTATACAACTACTTCAGGATTACATAATGTGATCAGTGATAAAATCCAGTATACTTATACATACAATTTCATTCAATTCTATTCAAAACGAAGGTTATCAATACATTATGTGCTGATCAATATAGCGCAGCATATTTAAGTATTGCAGTGTTTAGTTTCACTCTGGGTAACGCAATGACTTCCTTCATTCATATTCATCTTCCCGTTATATGCATCTTTCGACAACATATTTGTCTTGAGATTTACAAGAAAATTGGAAATTCATGTACGTACATTTTTTTCATACTTTGACTATACATCCCTTTTTGTATCAATATTGATCGTGAATGTCTTCTTTGTCCGTTTGTTTGTATCTCCTTTTCATATATGTTTTTCCTTTTGTGTTGATATTGTAGTATATCACTTTTATCATTATTGTGTAAATAGCCAATATCTAGTACATCAAATCAATTTAACATCCACATTTATAAAAGTACATAGAGTGGTTTGCATAGTGTGTCTGATAGTATACTGCAAGTAAATATAAATATCAGAAATCATAACAGTTTGTTTAGAAAAGTTATATCATATGTTTAAATGATTGTGTTGTTACCCTGTTGTACTGTAAACTAGTGATCGCGGGGCGATGACGAAGTGTAATCCACTAGCCTTGTTGTCATATCCCTAACATTATACTCTATAAAATATTAAACTATAACTTGTATACATAGTCATAGAAAAACATATTGTTTAAATCAATGACTTTCACATAATTACATAACTCGCCTTCTGTCATCAGTAAGGGAAATATTGTTTTCACATTGTCCTGGACAAGCGTTAAGGTATGTCCAGAGAATTCCAAAGGGTTGATTATTCCCATATTTCGACGTGAGAATACCCGTTGTGTGGTTTCCTATTATCTAGTTACGACGTAGACAACTAGAAGACAGTAAATAATGTTATATTTCAATATCTTTATTTGGGAAGATACAATCCCCATTGGAAGAACATCCTCATCATTTACGATGAACTATAAAAGAGCGTACGAATTGATTTGAAAGCGAGTCAGATAACACACAATGGTATATATCATGTGATTTTTGTATAGCACACACAGGGTAATACTAGTGTGTGATTTGTGTATAAAACTCACAAAGGGTAATACTGGTGTGTGGTTTGTGTATAAAACTCACACAGGCTAATACTGGTGTGTTATCTGTGTATAAAACTCACACAGGGTAATACTGGTATTTGTGTTGTGTATAAAACTCACACATGGTAATACTGGTGTTTGTCCTGTGTATAAAACTCATACAGGGTAATACTGGTGTTTTGTGTTGTGTATAAAATTCACACAGGGTAATACTGACGTGTGATTGGTGTATAAAACTCACACAGGGTAATACTGATGTGTGATTTGTGTATAAAACTCACACAGGGTAATACTGGTGTGTGATTTTTGTATAAAACTTATACAGGGTAATACTGACGTGTGATTTGTGTATAAAACTCACACAGGGTAATACTGGTGTGTAATTTGTTTATAAAACTCACACAGGGTAATACTTGTTTGTGATTTGTGTATAAAACTCACACAGGGTAATACTTGTTTGTGATTGGTGTATAAAACTCACACAGGGTAATACTTGTTTGTGATTTGTGTATAAAACTCACACAGGGTAATACTGGTGTGATTTGTGTATAAAACTCACACAGGGTAATACTGGTGTGTGATTTGTGTATAAAACTCACACAGGGTAATACTGGTGTGTGATTTGTGTATAAAACTCACACAGGGTAATACTTGTTTGTGATTTGTGTATAAAACTCACACAGGGTAATACTTGTTTGTGATTGGTGTATAAAACTCACACTGGGTAATACTGGTGTGTGATTTGTGTATAAAACTCACACAGGGTAATACTGGTGTGTGATTTGTGTATAAAACTCACACAGGATGATACTGGTGTGTGATTTGTGTATAAAACTCACACAGGGTAATACTTGTTTGTGATTTGTGTATAAAACTCACACAGGGTAATACTGACGTGTGATTGGTGTATAAAACTCACAAAGGATTAATACTGGTGTGTGATATTGGTGTATAAAACTCACACATGGAAATACTGGTGTGTGATTGGTGTATAAAACTCACACATGGTAATACTTGTTTGTGATTTGTGTATAAAACTCACACAGGGTAATACTGGTGTGTGATTTGTGTATAAAACTCACACAGGATGATACTGGTGTGTGATTTGTGTATAAAACTCACACAGGGTAATACTTGTTTGTGATTTGTGTATAAAACTCACACAGGGTAATACTGACGTGTGATTGGTGTATAAAACTCACAAAGGATTAATACTGGTGTGTGATATTGGTGTATAAAACTCACACATGGTAATACTGGTGTGTGATTGGTGTATAAAACTCACACATGGTAATACTTGTTTGTGATTTGTGTATAAAACTCACACAGGGTAATACTGGTGTGTGATTTGTGTATAAAACTCACACAGGGTAATACTGGTGTGTGATTTGTGTATAAAACTCACACAGGATAATACTGGTGTGTGATCTGTGTATAAAACTCACACAGGGTGATACTGACGTGTGATTGGTGTATAAAACTCACACAGGATTAATACTGGTGTGTGATTTGTATATAAAACTAACACAGGGTAATACTGGTGTGTGATTTGTGTATAAAACTCCCACAAGGTAATACTGGTGTGTGATTTGTGTATAAAACTCACAAAGGGTAATACTGGTGTTTGTGTCGTGTATAAAACTCACACAGGGTAATACTGGTGTGTGATATGTGTATAAAACCCACACAGGGTAATACTGGTGTGTGATTTGTGTATAAAACTCACACAGGGTAATACTGGTGTGTGTGATTTGTGTATAAAACTCACACAGGGTAATACTGATGTGTGATTTGTGTATAAAACTCACACAGGGTAATACTGGTGTGTGGTTTGTGTATAAAACTCACACAGGCTAATACTGGTGTGTTATCTGTGTATAAAACTCACACAGGGTTATACTGGTGTGTGATTGGGTATAAAACTCACACAGGGTAATACTGGTGTGTGATTTGTGTATAAAACTCACACAGGGTAATACTGGTGTGTGATTTGTGTATAAAACTCACACAGGGTAATACTGGTGTGTGATATGTGTATAAAACCCACACAGGGTAATACTGGTGTGTGATTTGTGTATAAAACTCACACAGGGTAATACTGGTGTGTGATTTGTGTATAAAACCCACACAGGATTAATACTGGTGTGTGATTTGTATATAAAACTAACACAGGGTAATACTGGTGTGTGATTTGTGTATAAAACTCACAAAGGGTAATACTGGTGTTTGTGTCGTGTATAAAACTCACACAGGGTAATACTGGTGTGTGATATGTGTATAAAACCCACACAGGGTAATACTGGTGTGTGATTTGTGTATAAAACTCACAAAGGGTAATACTGGTGTGTGATATGTGTATAAAACCCACACAGGGTAATACTGGTGTGTGATTTGTGTATAAGACTCACATAGGGTAATACTGGTGTATGATTTGTGTATAAAACTCACACAGGGTAATACTGGTGTGTGATTGGTGTATAAAACTCACAAAGGGTAATACTGGTGTGTGATTTGTGTATAAAACTCACACAGGGTAATACTTGTTTGTGATTTGTGTATAAAACTCACACAGGGTAATACTGGTGTGTGATATGTGTATAAAACCCACACAGGGTAATACTGGTGTGTGATTGGTGTATAAAACTCACACAGGGTAATACTGGTGTGTGATTTGTATATAAAACTAACACAGGGTAATACTGGTGTGTGATTGGTGTATAAAACTCACACAGGGTAATACTGGTGTGTGATTGGTGTATAAAACTCACACAGGGTAATACTGGTGTGTGATTGGTGTATAAAACTAACAAAGAGTAATACTGGTGTGTGATTGGTGTATAAGGGTAATACTGTTGTTTTCGTATATATGTTTATCTCGTGTATCATTTATGTTCGACACGTTTTATTTTTTTTTATTTCATGATAAAAATATTTTAGTTTATTTACTTTGATAAACAGTGAAATCATTATTTTCATTGTGTATGTGTGCTTCTGTTGTTATGTTTATGTGTGTCATTGGTGTAATGTTTATGTGCGTGTGTATGTGTGCCCATGATGTATTGGTTTTGTGTTCCTAGTGTATGGTGTATGACCTTTTTTATGTCCCTGGTATATTGGTATTTTCTAAATCTAGTGTATATATGTCATTCATTATGTATGTGTTCACATGAATATTGTTGCCCCATATGGCCAGAGACGTATATAAGTCAGCGGTGGAAAATAACTTCAATAATATCAACAAAATAAACAGTAATAAAACAACCATTCTTCATAAATCATAATAAAAATACTATCAATGCATTTTTTGCAAAAGCCACGCCTTTGAGAATGCAGTAATCGTGTAATGCTAATACTCTAGATGTTTATGTTTATTTCTCGTCGTTCCACCGGATTCGTTTCAGAGTTTAGATAGCCACGAAGTTAACACGGCTCCGAAGTGCTTGTAACGCAAGGTAGTTCGCGTTAAGTTTAAAATCGACATTGAATCTTTACCTCCGACGTTGGGTGCAGCATGGTCCTAGATGGCTTTCGCGATAAAATATGCCAAAGTTATCAGAAATAACTGGAAAAAATCAGTGGTTGCTGTCGTTTCTGCAGTTTATGGCGGAAAATATGCGAAAGGGAAATACGAGTAAGAGAAAAAAAATGTGTTCACATGTATTTGTGGCTGAAAGTACAGCATCTTCACTAATCCAAGGACGTCCCCAAATTCTTGTCTATACTGTGCGATAGTTATAATGTTGTCATATTATATGAAGATCAGTTTCATTATAGACATATCTATCGGATTGTACCAATGTAGAACGTTAGAATGAACATGTGATTACGGCACGTCTTGTTGTTTATGACACGTACCACAGGGGGAAGTTGCATGTACATCTACAAATGGTTTAATAAACACCGACTGAATCAATAAGTACGGCTCATCCTAGAATATTTGTAACAAACTACTTTACATGTGCTGGATATTGTATACATAATATGCACGTACAATGTCTATCATGGTATATACTCAATTCTAGTGATATTTTTAAACAACAAGTTTTATAAACAACATCTAAACTTACAGTAATGCAACCAGTTTTGAAAGGAAGTAAATAAGTAAATTGATGGAAGAATAGCTCTGTTTCAAAATCAACGTTGTTTATCAGCATTCCCAGTTAGTTTCAAGTGCCACTTTTGTTACATGCATTTTTTTCACTTTTTGTTTTTCATCAGGTTGCTATACATCTACACTACATAAATAAATAACTATTATAGCGACATATTGCTGTAATAGTATCTAGTACCATCTGAAATATTGGGGGGATTTATAAGCAACAAGGTTTTACACTACATAGATAAATAACTATTATAGCAACATATTGCTGTATTAGTATCTAGTACCATCTGAAATATTGGGAGGATTTATAAACAACAAGGTTTTACACTACATAGATAAATAACTATTATAGCAACATATTGCTGTATTAGTATCTAGTACTATCTGAAATATTGGGAGGATTTATAAACAACAAGGTTTTACACTTCATAGATAAATAACTATTATAGGGACATATTGTTTTAATAGCAATAAATCAACTTTTGTCCATTCTGTAAATATAAATGCTGTAAAATGTAATAGCATATTCAATTTCAAGTTCACCATTCCTACTTTTGTGACCCGTGTTATGTGATATGTACAAGATTTTTTTTACTGTCATATTATGTACTGTTATAGATGTATAAAATTGAACCAATGTGTTAATAGTTCAGATTCGAATATAAATGACAAGTTTTCTTTTGTTTTTTTTTTAGTCAGGAGTGGATACGAAGGGAATTCTGTGCTGAGGCTTTGGTGAGAATGGAATTTACATCACATGCACTTTACAAAATATTATACATTGTCATAATTGATCAGCATTTTTTTTTACATTTTTTAGTATATTTATGTATCAGGAAATCTTCTGAATTGTACATCAACTTAATCCACTTAAAAAAAGATTTTTAAAATATGGTTAGTTTTAAACTGTGGGAAATTAAAAGGGTTTGATTTTTCCAACAGGTGCATGATGGGTCATAATTAGTTAATTGGATAACCTCTTCCTCAAGAGCTGTTGACTGCTTTGTGATCTGCTAAGTGCTAAAAATGTATTGCTCCTATTGAAAAACAGTGCATGTTTTAATTCATTAAATCAATCAGATTCATCTTATTCTGAAGTATGGCTACTCTTCAGTGATTGAACAAATTGTACACGTGAATTTTAAAATTTTAATTCACAGAAATATGGTAGTGCAAAGATAAGCATTAAAGAAAGACCAAGGAAAATCACTGTATTCCTGAACCCTGCAGCATCAGGCGGGTATGTAAATATGATACAGCATTATAACTGACCAAAAATTGTAAAGAGAGATTTGTGGTTTAATTTTCTAATTTCAGCATTTTCTTATCTTGAAAACTTATCATGAAGTGTGTGTCTTGTTTGTAACCATATGCTCCCCAATAACTTTAGATTTATTTGAAGCAGAAAAAATACATAAGCTCAAAGTAGCAACACAAATGCATACATTCATCGTAAAAGTTTATGTCTACTTTAAATACCTGTACAAAGTGGTTAGAAGAATAACATTACTGCTATACATTCCAAAATTGTGAAAAGAAAGCATGCTGCATCTTAGTATCAAACTGATTTTGTTTCTCTTATTATACTGGGACAGAGGTGAGAGATATATAAAGTGTTACCTATGTCAGTCTTCCCTGTTCTTTTATGTGTTCTGACATTATACTGGGACAGAGGTGAGAGGTATATAAAGTGTTACCTATGTCAGTCCCCAAGTCTTTTATGTGTCCTGAAATTATACTGGGACAGAGGTGAGTGGTATATAAAGTGTTACCTATGTCAGTCCCCCAGTCTTTTATGTGTTCTGACATTATACTGGGACAGAGGTGAGTGGTATATAAAATGTTACCTATGTCAGTCCCCCAGTCTTTTATGTGATCTGACATTATAATGGGACAGAGGTGAGAAGTATATAAAGTGTTACCTATGTCAGTCCCCCAGTCTTTTATGTGTCCTGACATTATACTAGGACAGAGGTGAGTGGTATATAAAGTGTTACCTATGTCAGTACACTGTTCTTTTATGTGTCCTGACATTATACTGGGACGGAGGTGAGTGGTATATAAAGTGTTACCTATGTCAGTACACTGTTGTTGTATGTGTCCTGAAATTATACTGGCACAGAGGTGAGGGGTATATAAAGTGTTACCTATGTCAGTACACTGTTGTTGTATGTGTCCTGAAATTATACTGGGACAGAGGTGAGAGGTATATAAAGTGTTACCTATGTCAGTCCCCCAGTCTTTTATGTGTTCTGACATTATACTGGGACAGAGGTGAGAGGTATATAAAGTGTGTCCTATGTCAGTCTTCCTTGTTCTTTTATGTGTCCTGACATTATACTGGGACAGAGGTGAGGGGTATATAAAGTGTTACATATGTCAGTCTCCCAGTCTTTTATGTGTCCTGACATTATACTGGGACGGAGGTGAGAGGTATATAAAGTGTGTCCTATGTCAGTACGCTCTGTTCTTTTATATGTTCTGACATTATACTGGGACAGAGGTGAGTGGTATATAAAGTGTTACCTATGTCAGTCCCCCAGTCTTTTATGTGTCCTGACATTATATTGGGACGGAGGTGAAGGGTATACAAAGATTAAACTTCATTGTATATCAGTCCACCCTGCTCTAAATCTTAACAATCAATCTGAAAAGATTTGGTTTATTGTTCTTCACCAAATCAGATTAAAGTGGTAATTGGTCATGGTCATACGATCAAAGAATACATTTGACAACTGTGAATTCATCAAATATAATTATCTGCACAAAGGAGCAGGGACATTTGCTTTTTTTTGCATTTTTCCTTACTTGTAGGTATTTCTTGAAAATGTTAAGTTTTAAAATTGTTAATTTGATAATTATATTCATGACAGTTTTTGAAATTGGAATTCTGAAAACATTACCTCCCCTTTTGTTGACAGAGGTGCTTTGAAAGTGTTCGAGAAGAATGCAGCACCTATATTACACGCAGCTGGATTGGATGTCAATGTTGTTAAGGTAATCAATGTAATTGAGATGGAATCTGTGCATCCGTGGTCTGTCTGTCCGTAAACAATTTTTGTTATCGCTATTTCTTAAAAAGGCATGGAGGGATCTCTCTTGAATTTCATATGTAGCTTCTCCTTGGCCCCTTGTTGTGCCTGTTTGATTTTGGGACTGATCAGAAAAACAAAATGGTGAAAGGCGCCCATCTTGGATTTTGACTTTGCAAGTCTGTTATCGCTATTCTTGATAGCTACTCGACAGATCTTTCTCAAGTTTCATATGTAGGTTCCTTTTGGTCCCTAGTTGTGCCCATCTAAATTTGGGAATTAAAAGAAATAAATGTAATTCCTATTTTTTTGTTGTTTCACTCCTTTGGGAATGGGGCCAATGGCTTTGAAATTTTGAGAAAAAAGGGAGACAAAATTTCTAAAAGGGAAAAATAACAGAACAAAAATACACAATTTATAGTTCATTTTTTTCATCTGTGTAGCTCTAAGTTTCTTGGAAAAATGCAAGCCCAGGGCTAACTCCCTGAAAACTGGAAAGCATCATCCAGACTTTTTGATAATTTGCTAAATTACATTTTTTGGAATTAAAATGAGTGGGGAAAAGCACAAAACGTTTAACCGTTGGGAATCAGGCCAATTTTGGCACCATATCTTCCAGAAAAAAGATAGTGTTATGAACATTCTTTAATTCTTCTGTAATTTCAACAGCTGATGTTTCACAGAACTTATTTAACATGTGTCTGTGCCTATTACTGCCTTTTTATGACAGGTGGAATATGAAGGCCAGGTTAAAAAATTCCTGTCTATCATGGAAAGGTCGGACACAGATGGTATAGTGGTTGCAGGAGGTGATGGCACACTACTTGAGGTAAGAACAAATAATTTAGACCATCAAAAATGTGGTCATTTGTGTCAGCATTGTTTACAGGTCAGTTGATTGAAATCTTACTGTGCTTCTGTCTGAAAGAATTTGTAAGCATGCTTTGATACAAATATTACCCCAATTGCAAGTGACTGTTGTAATAACAAAGGTCAGCAGGAACCAAGGTCAACAGATTATCTCATATACCATTTCAGGGTTTTCCATGAGAACCGGTCGCCGGCCAATTTGACCGGCTACTTTGGTCATTTGGCCACCTACACCAATCCAGTTCCATAATAATGTTCCATACACAACTACACGTACATGGCTGGCCAGCCTCCTACTTTTACTACTCAGCTTACTACTAACAAAATTATGGAAAACCCTGCCATTTCCTGATGATCTTTTTAAGCCCACCATCATCAGATGATGGGCTGTTCAAATCGCCCTATATCTATGGTCCGTCGTCCTTCCATTGTCCGTCCGTTTGTCCATAAACAATTTTTGTTATCACTATTTCTTGAGAAGTACTGAATAGATCTTAATCAACTTGCATATGTAGATTATTCTTGGTCCCTTGCTGTGCCTGTTTGATTTTGGGACTGATAAAAAAAAACTGGCCGAGAAAACAGCCATCTTGGATTTTTTCAATGAAGATTGTTTTCGATATTTCTTATAAACTCAGAGATGGATCTTTCTCAAATTCCATATGTAAGTTCCCCTGGGTTTCCAGTTGTGCCTATAAATTTTTGGGATGGATCAGAAAAACAAAATGGGGAGAAAAGCAGCCATCTTGGATTTTGACTTTGAAAGTTTGCTATCGCTATTTCTTGAGAAGTACTGTATAGATCTTTCTTAAATTTCATATTTAGGTCCCTAGTTGTCCTAACTTGATTCACAAATAAAAGATGGCTGAAAATTTGACATCTTAGATTTTGACTTTGAAAGTTTGTTATCGCTATTCATGAGAACTACTCTATAGATCTTTCTCAAATTTCCTTTGTGCTTTCCTTTTGTTATCAATATTTCTTGAGAAATAGATCTTTCTCAAATTTCATGTATAGGTTCCTTAATGTCCCTAGTTGTGCATGTTTGAGTTTTGGACTGATCAGAAAAACAAAATGACTTCCAGATAGTCATTTTGGATTTGGCAGGTAAAGATTACCATCGTGATTTATGCCAAGTAATATTCAAATGTCTTATCACTAAGAGCAAAAAGAGAAGAGAAGAAAAGAAGGGAAAAGATCCAACTTTCAAAGAACATATCAAGATCAAACGGTGGTGGTCCCCAAGATCCCTCTGGGATCTCTTGTTTCATGAGTGACTGATATTTTAAAAGTTTCTTCTATTTCCAGACTGTCACCGGGATCATGAGGAAGGAAGATAAGGTAAAATATTGTTACTCAAGGACTTTCTCAGTGCTACCAGACTTTCTCAGTACTCCAGAGACTTTCTCAGTACTCCAGAGACTTTCTCAGTACTCCAGAGACTTTATCAGTACTACGGAGACTTAATCACTACTCAGGAGACTTTTTTCAGTACTACAGAGACTTTCTCAGTACTACCAGATTTCTCAGTACTCCCGAGACTTTCTCAGTACTACAGAGACTTTCTCAGTACTACAGAGACTTTCTACTCCAGAGACTTTATCTCTGGAGACTTTTCTACTCAGGAGACTTTTTTCAGTACTACAGAGACTTTCTCAGTACTCTGGAGACTTTATCAGTACTCCAGAGACTTTATCAGTACTATGGAGACTTATTCAGTACTCAGGAGACTTTCTCAGTACTACAGAGACTTTCTCAGTACTCCAGAGACTTTCTCAGTACTCTGGAGACTTTCTCAGTACTACAGAGACTTTCTCAGTACTCTGGGGACTTTCTCAGTACTCCAGAGACTTTCTCAGTACTCCCGAGACTTTCTCAGTACTCCAGAGACTTTCTCAGTACTCCAGAGACTTTCTCAGTTCTCCCGAGACTTTCTCAGTACTACAGAGACTTTCTCAGTACTACAGAGACTTTCTCAGTACTCCAGAGACTTTCTCAGTACTCCAGAGACTTTCTCAGTACTACAGAGACTTTCTCAGTACTCCAGAGTCTTTCTCAGTACTACAGAGACTTTCTCAGTACTCCAGAGACTTTCTCAGTACTACAGAGACTTTCTCAGTACTCCAGAGTCTTTCTCAGTACTACAGAGATTTTCAGTACTCCAGAGACTTTCTCAGTACTTCAGAGACTTTCTCAGTACTCCGGAGACTTTCTCAGTACTACAGAGACTTTCTCAGTACTCAGGGGACTTTCTCAGTACTACCAGATTTCTCAGTACTCAGGGGACTTTCTCAGTACTCCAGAGACTTTCTCAGTACTACAGAGACTTTCTCAGTTCTCCCGAGACTTTCTTAGTACTAGAGAGACTTTCTCAGTACTACAGAGACTTTCTCAGTACTACAGAGACTTTCTTAGTACTAAATAGACTTTCTCAGTACTCCAGAGACTTTCTCAGTACTCCAGAGACTTTCTCAGTACTACAGAGACTTTCTCAGTACTACAGAGACTTTCTCAGTACTCTGGAGACTTTCTCAGTACTACAGAGACTTTCTCAGTACTACGGAGAATTTCTCAGTACTCCCGAGACTTTCTCAGTACTCCAGAGACTTTCTCAGACTTTTCTCAGTACTACAGAGACTTTCTCAGTACTCAGGGGACTTTCTCAGTACTACCAGATTTCTCAGTACTCAGGGGACTTTCTCAGTACTCCAGAGACTTTCTCAGTACTACAGAGACTTTCTCAGTACTTCAGAGACTTTCTCAGTACTCCCGAGACTTTCTCAGTACTATGGAGACTTTCTTAGTACTACAGAGACTTTCTCAGTACTACCAGATTTCTCAGTACTCCCGAGACTTTCTCAGTACTACAGAGACTTTCTCAGTACTCTGGAGACTTTCTCAGTACTCCAGAGACTTTATCAGTACTACGGAGACTTAATCACTACTCAGGAGACTTTTTTCAGTACTACAGAGACTTTCTCAGTACTATGGAGACATTCTCAGTACTACAGAACTTTCTCATATCATTTCTATCTCAATATATTCATCTTAATTGTAGCCATTCAATCACCTATTTAATCTACAGATTAACTCCATGTTATACAGTATTTTATAAATCTGTCTATGCATTTAACAAAGAAATATATTATGCCCTGATAAGACTTGAACTTCTGATGAAATAAAATACAATATGGTACTACATTTCAGGAGTTGATAAATGTATGATATCTGGAAGTTTATCATGGAGATTTATATACAGTCTTTATCATATGTATATATATGTATTCCAACTGAATTATTTAAATTAACAAATTGAATTTGACGAGTACATACCGTATGCTGAAGATAAAATCCCACTTTTTTCCAGACATTCAGACAACACATTCCAGTAGGAGTTATTCCCCTTGGTCTTAAAAATCGTTTTGCCAAGTTGCTGTTTGGTGGTGATAAAGATGAAGTTCTGTAAGTATATTTGATGTGTTCCCATGATGAGGCCACATTATGATTCAGATACGTTTCCAGCTTTTATCAATCATTGTACAAATACTGACTTAATCTCGCGAGATATATTTTACATACAAACTGTAAAAACATTTCATGTTTTAGAATTACAAATTAAAAATAAAGATAACAAAGGTTCTACGTTGATAAGACACTTGATGACTATTTTGATGATATCTGTTTTTGTGCCACCATATCTAGATAATGTATTAAGACATTTAAATACCAGGATAACATGAAGCCATTATAGATATATTATATATTAAAATATGTTTCTATGTACTCTTTTAAAGTATTCTGTTATAAGTCAGTTCAGGGTTGTCTACCCTTATTTGAAGAACTATCTCCTATACCTGTTTCCCTCCAGACCCTCACCTTCTAACAGGATACACAAACACCACAGTAGCAATATAATATAATGGAATGCCTTTCCATCAACAAAATGATACTTTTTCTCACCATTGTTACAAATTAATCTATTTAATCTGATCAAACACTTTAATAAATTCAGTAAAAAAACATCAAACTCTCATAATCAGATACAATTACAATTAGAGGAATGCAGAACATTTAAAGATATCACTTTGTATTTTATAATCTCTGACCATTAGAAACAATAATCTGACCACTGGTCAGACTGGTGTTGATTGTTTATCATTTTTTCACAGACTGATGTGTGAATGTGCCATGTCCATTGTCCGAGGTCTTGGCAGAAGTGTCGATATCATCAGTCTCAAGGTCAGATTCCACGTAAAAATGGTTGTCTTATGTTGTTACAATGTTCAGTATAGTATTGTAAAAAGTCTGTATAATTAATTTAGGCTACTTTAGGCTATACGTGGTAATGAAGGACTACTTTAGGCTATACGTGGTAAGGAAGGACTACTGTAGGCTATACGTGGTAATGAAGGACTACTTTAGGCTATACGTGGTAAGGAAGGACTACTTTTGGCTATACGTGGTAATGAAGGACTACTTTAGGCTATACGAGGTAATGAAGGACTACTTTTGGCTATACTTGGTAATGAAGGACTACTGTAGGCTATACTTGGTAATGAATCATTACTGTAGGCTGTACTTGGTAAGGAAGGACTACTTTATGCTATACTTGGTAATGAAGGACTACTGTAGGCTATACTAGGTAATGAAGGACTACTGTAGGCTATACTTGGTAATGAAGGACTACTGTAGGCTATACTAGGTAATGAAGGACTACTTTATGCTATACTTAGTAATGAAGGACTACTTTAGGCTATACTTGGTAAGGAAGGACTACTGTAGGCTATACTTGGTTGGTAATGAAGGACTACTTTAGGCTATACTTGGTAAGGAAGGACTACTGTAGGCTATATACTTGGTAAGGAAGGACTACTGTAGGCTATACTTGGTAAGGAAGGACTACTGTAGGCTATACATGGTAATGAAGGACTACTGTAGGCTATACATTGTAATGAAGGACTACTTTAGGCTATACTTGGTAATGAAGGACTACTGTAGGCTATACATGGTAATGAAGGACTACTTTAGGCTATACTTGGTAATGAAGGACTACTGTAGGCTTTACTTTACACACTGTCTTAATCAATCTTATGATATTAGCATTCAGAATCATCTAATCTTTACTTGGTGAAAATGTTAGTAAAAATATAAGAGTGAAAATAGTAAAATGTCAATCTCAGCTTATAAATGAACAGAAAATGTTAACAGTTTAAACTAGAAAAACACTGCAAAACCTAGTAATGCTTTATGCCTTGAGTAAGGTGTAGAGGATTTCCAACCTACACAAAAAAAACCTGTTAATGTAGTTCTTGGTGTCTCTGTTTCAGGAGGATAATGGAAGAACAGCATATGCATTGTGTGGACTTGAAACAGGTGCTTTCATGGAGGCAGAACAGCGAAAGTCAAAGTGAGTCTTTAAAAAATCATATTCTGATGGCCATAAATTCATGGTCCATCATCCATCCATCCATAAGCAAATATTCTTTGTTGATCACTATTTGTTGAGAAGGACTAGATGGGTATTTGTATTTGTAGGTTTCCCGTGATCCCTGCTGGTGCCCCTTTAGTTTTGAGACTGATTAATGAAACAAGGTGGCTGACAGGTAGCCATCTTGGAATTTTGATTATGAAAGTGTGCTATCTCTTTATGCTGGATTCATCTTTCTAAAATTTCATATATAAGTTTCCCATGGTCCCTAGTATTGCACCTTTGATTTTAACACTAATTTCATAAACAAAAATCTGATACAGCTGATAGGCAGCTGCCATCTTGTATTCTAATAGTCAACCCTAAGCCCTAACACTGATATGTTTAGACTTGCATCAGGCTGATTTGAATAAATCTGTAACAATTAATCAGACGAAAAATTAAAAAAATGATGGATTGGCTGCCTTATTCTGTGGTTGAAGGAGACATCTGCACTTATTCTGTAAATTGGTTCAAATTTACTGTATTTACCAAGGATAATTGTAACTGGTATTGGAAATAAGAAATATACAGTTGGTATAATAGATATCTTGATCTCATACAATAAGTAATAGAATCCATTTTTTTAAACTCAGTCAACAATTTGTGACTGATGCTACCCATATGTTTTACAAAATACCGATGTCTTATGTGATGCAGATTTAAACAAAAATTCTTTTCACTCTTTAACAGATCTTTTTAAATGCTTTTGTTTTGGGCAGGTATTGGTACTTTGGAGGGTTAAAACATCGCATGACTTATATTAGGTCAGCATTCTCTGACTGGCCACCTGTTTTCAAGGCTAAAATATCATACGTTCTAGCGACAGAGGAGAACACAAAACCAAAATCCGGACAACAGAACCAACAGCCAAATGAACAGCCAAAGGGCAGTTGGTTTTCAATGCTTTTCAAACCCAAGATCATCAAACCTCATGGTATATTACTTTGGTCTGGATATTTTTCACCTTTTGAAGATATTTCCCAAGGTTTCAAAGCTGGCACAATTGTAGACTTAGTAATATTTTGACGCTTCAATACTGTTTGTTTCACAGTTTTTATATATGTGTTGATGGTCTTTGTATTGAAATTGTCTCCAATACTTGAAAACATGCAGGTTAAGGCCAATTGTAATCGCTGATTACTTACTTACCTAGTTTCAAAATTTCATATCAAGTAGACTTGAGACTGACAAATTATTGCTGAGAAACCCCTGATGATGTGAAAGTAATACAAAGCTTGAGGATTATGATACAAATGAGTTCTTGTTCTTGTGCTTTTGAGTTATTGATACTGTAACACCTGACTACCTTTACTTAATTCTTATATGCTAAATTTCCTTCTGCATTTTCTATTTGATTGTGCTACAGTTGAGTTGACAGAAGAAGAGACTGATGATGAAAATGATATGATGGAGACAAGGGACTTATCAGCAGTAGAATTGACAACTGTATCTACTTGTTTACAGGACCCAGAACAGGTCAGTTTTAATGGTCACAGTGAAAGAGATATTTCACATTTCAGCCATATCTCTGTTAAAATTGTTCATTTTGAGCCAACTTTGAGGCTTTTATACCAATCTTAGTTTGTTTTTGTCCCTCTTACAAGTCAAACTGGAAGAGGCTGTAGGTTTAGCTACCATCTACACTCCCACAGGGTGAACCCATGTATCCACATCAGTCTCAGTTTCTGTTTGTCACTGTCACTTTGGCATTTTTGTGTGATTCTTTCTTGATATTACTACTCTTTCAAACATAGGTACGCATACCATTACAATGTTGCAATGATTGGTACCTGGATAAGTAACCTCATTAATGTTTCTTAATGAAAGCCTAGAAGACTCACCAATATCTTTTACTACTATTGTTTCAGACTGTGAAGGGGCTGGAGGTAGGAATTGGACCAGCTGAACCATCCGTCTGGGAATTTATCACTGAAGGGTAAGTGTATGGGTGTATAAAGCAGATACATATTCTGATCTTGTGCTTTTCCCTTGTCATTTTTGTTGTTTAATGTTTGATATGCAGTTCAGTAGGGTAACAACCTTTATAAAAGAATGTTTTGACTATTGTAGTTGGCGCAGAGTAAGTGAACCATCCCTGAGGCTGGGTACAAAATCAAACGAGACCATGCTTGTTAAGAAAATCAGAATAGAACCAGAGGTGAGCATTACAGTTATGTCCCTTTTTCTTGGGTACTATCAGAATTATACCCTCCATCTAGGATACTATCAGAGTTATGTCTATTTTCTTGGATATTATCAGAGGTATGTCTCTTTCCTTGGATATTATCAGAGTTATGTCCTTTTTCTTGGATACTATCAGAGTTATGACCCTTTTCTTGGATATTATTAGAGTTATGTCCCTTTTCTTGGATACTATCAGAGGTATGTCCCTTTTCTTGGATATTATTACCATGATTACCTTTTCCAGTGATACTCTCTTAGTCAAGTCTTTTGTCTTGAATATTATCATAGTTAACAGTATGTCCAATGTCTTCTTTATCATAGTTATGTCCAATGTCTTCTTTATCATAATTATGTCCAATGTCTTCTGTATCATAGTTGTGTCCAATGTCTTCTGTATCATAGTTGTGTCCAATGTCTTCTGTATCATAGTTATGTCCAATGTCTTCTGTGTCATAGTTATGTCCAATGTCTTCTGTATCATAGTTATGTCCAATGTCTTCTGTGTCATAGTTATGTCCAATGTCTTCTGTATCATAGTTATGTCCAATGTCTTCTGTATCATAGTTATGTCCAATGTCTTCTGTATCATAGTTGTGTCCAATGTCTTCTGTATCATAGTTATGTCCAATGTCTTCTGTATCATAGTTATGTCCAATGTCTTCTGTATCATAGTTATGTCCAATGTCTTCTGTATCATAGTTATGTCCAATGTCTTCTGTATCATAGTTATGTCCAATGTCTTCTGTATCATAGTTATGTGTCCAATGTCTTCTGTATCATAGTTATGTCCTATGTCTTGTGTATCATAGTTATGTCCAATGTCTTCTGTATCATAGTTATGTCCAATGTCTTCTGTATCATAGTTATGTCCAATGTCTTCTGTATCATAGTTATGTCCAATGTCTTCTGTATCATAGTTATGTCCTCTGTCCTCTGTATCATAGTTATGTCCAATGTCTTCTGTATCATAGTTATGTCCAATGTCTTCTGTATCATAGTTATGTCCAATGTCTTCTGTATCATAGTTATGTCCAATGTCTTTTGTATCATAGTTATGTCCAATGTCCTCTGTATCATAGTTATGTCCAATGCCTTCTGTATCATAGTTATGTCCAATGTCTTCTGTATCATAGTTATGTCCAATGTCTTTTGTATCATAGTTATGTCCAATGTCCTCTGTATCATAGTTATGTCCAATGCCTTCTGTATCATAGTTATGTCCAATGTCTTCTGTATCATAGTTATGTCCAATGTCTTCTGTATCATAGTTATGTCCAATGTCTTCTGTATCATAGTTATGTCCAATGTCTTCTGTATCATAGTTATGTCCAATGTCTTCTGTATCATAGTTATGTCCAATGTCTTCTGTATCATAGTTATGTCCAATGTCTTCTGTATCATAGTTATGTCCAATGTCTTCTGTATCATAGTTTTGTCCAATCATAGTTATGTCCAATGTCTTCTGTTTCATAGTTATGTCCAATGTCTTCTGTATCATAGTTATGTCCAATGTCTTCTGTATCATAGTTATGTCCAATGTCTTCTGTATCATAGTTATGTCCAATGTCTTCTGTATCATAGTTATGTCCTCTGTCCTCTGTATCATAGTTATGTCCAATGTCTTCTGTATCATAGTTATGTCTAATGTCTTCTGTATCATAGTTATATGTCCAATGTCTTCTGTATCATAGTTATGTCCAATGTCTTCTGTATCATAGTTATGTCCAATGTCTTCTGTATCATAGTTATGTCCAATGTCTTCTGTATCATAGTTATGTCCAATGTCTTCTGTATCATAGTTATGTCCAATGTCTTCTGTATCATAGTTATGTCCAATGTCTTCATTATCATAGTTATGTCCAATGTCTTCTGTATCATAGTTATGTCCAATGTCTTCTGTATCATAGTTATGTCCAATGTCTTCTGTATCATAGTTATGTCCAATGCCTTCATTATCATAGTTATGTCCAATGTCTTCTGTATCATAGTTATGTCCAATGTCTTCTGTATCATAGTTATGTCCAATGCCTTCATTTTCATAGTTATGTCAAGTGTCTTCTGTATCATATTTATGTCCAATGTCTTCTGTATGATAGTTATGTCCAATGTCTTCTGTATCATAGTTATGTCCAATGTCTTCTGTATCATAGTTATGTCCAATGTCTTCTGTATCATAGTTATGTCCAATGTCTTCTGTATCATAGTTATGTCCAATGTCTTCTGTATCATAGTATCATAGTTATATTATGTCCAATGTCTTCTGTATCATAGTTATGTCCAATGTCTTCTGTATCATAGTTATGTCCAATGTCTTCTGTATCATAGTTATGTCCAATGTCTTCTGTATCATAGTTATGTCCAATGTCTTCTGTATCATAGTTATGTCCAATGTCTTCTGTGTCATAGTTATGTCCAATGTCTTCTGTATCATAGTTATGTCCAATGTCTTCTGTATCATAGTTATGTCCAATGTCTTCTGTATCATAGTTATGTCCTCTGTCCTCTGTATCATAGTTATGTCCAATGTCCTCTGTATCATAGTTATGTCCAGTGTCTTGGATTCCGTTACAGTTGCTTGCCATGCCATGGATGTTGTTACTGATATATCTTACTGTTCCATGTGCCTTGCCACAAATACTGTTACATTAAAGTGCCTTGTCACAGACAAACATTTTGATTTGTATAAAGATTTTAACATATTTGAACATGAAAGTTGATAAAATCAATTTCTTTTTTTTTCTTTTTTTTTTTTTTTAAATTTTTAATTTTTGAAAGTTTTCAAATATAATACATATATAAACATATTATCATAAACTTTTGCACAAACTTACATACACTAACTTAGTGTTGTGCAGGTGATCACCTAATTATAATCAGTGTCTAAACAGGAAACACAACCTATTATAACTAATCAATTATGAAATTTCAACCTTGATGATCAGTTTCAAAATAATAACCAGTGATGTTAGGTTTACTGTTAATATCCGATCATCGATGATGGAATCTCAAAACTGATTCCCTATACTACACTTACATGGACATACACACACAGATGCTCACATACCATTCGCTCATCAGACAAATAGACAAACAAGACAGACAGAATAGGAAAGGGTAGAAAAAAGGAAAGAGGAAGGAGGGTAGAGAGGAGGAGGTACTGTTTTCTTCATACACACACACATATATATATTGTATAATGTATTCTGCATGTAAATAAAGAATATTGAAATTATAACAGCAAATCAAGAGTCGTCGGCGGAGTTAGTGTTATGATTAATAATTACAACAAAATAAATATACACGTACAGAGATAATTAGAGCCAGTGAAATAATATTAAGGTTAAGAACTTATAAGTCTAATAAGGGCTTCCATTTTCTCCAACCTTACTCAAATTGCATTTTAATATGATTCTTTTGACTATTATTTATATATTTTTGAACTACAAAATTATCTTTAATTACATTAATGAGAGCATTTATATTCAAAGAGTTACTAATACATCTGGTTTTATATATAGTGTTTTATAATGATAAGAATTTCATTGTCAGCTGAGTTACATTGTTGTGAAACTATTCCAAAAAGAAATGACTCCTTATTACATGCAAATGATATTAAAAGTAGATCTGATAAAGTTTCAAATTTCTGAAGAAGAGTTTGCACCTCCCTAAATTCCCATAAGCAATGCACAATTGTCTCTATTTCCATATTACATAAAGTACACATAGGGCAAGGGTTTATCTAATTTGTTACACAAGATCTGATGAATAATTCTGACCTGCAACCATATTAATTTAGGATTTTTGGTGACTGTAAAGGGAAGATTATATACTTTTGAACACTTTTCAAAATCAAAGTTAAACTGCAAATTCCATTTTTTGGTGCCAGTAGGCATAGTAGCTGGAATTATGATATGCTTGTAGAAATCTTTCACACCTTTGTTATTCTTGAAGAATATTTCTAATATTTGTGGTATGAAAGGATGTGAAAGTCTTTCTGATTTGAACTTGAGATTTCTTAAATAGCGTTTAATTGCAACTATTAATCCATGAAATTCTAGAAAGTTAGTGTTAATTCTAAACTTTTGTAGAAACTCTTCAAAAGAAAGAAATGTTAAGTTTTCAGAATTTTTCATCAGATCGTTCAACGTCAAGATACCTGCCATAAACCAGTTTGGGTAAAAGACAAATTCATTATTAACTTTAATATCATTGTTATACCAAAGGGGTGTTTTGAGAAGACAATTTTGTCTATTTAGCGATATATCCTTAGATTTGTTTAGTTTATCCCATGCTTTGAAAACATTTTTCCAGAATTGATTGCAGCATCTTGATCCACATAAATATACATAATCCTTTCCACATTTAAACAACTTATTTAGATCTACAGTTGACTTAAGGATCAGATACCATTTGCCCGATAACAAATACATGACATAGTCTGAGGGAATTAACACATGATTATCAGAGGAAGGGATAGGCTTACTACAGAAAAATGAAATAACACCTGTTTGCATTTCTAAAGAAATTACAACTTATTGTGATGAGCTTATTAAAAGACATTGTGATATAGATAGATAATCAGTAACCAAGATTGATATATCTTTTAGCCCTAGGATGTACGGAAAAATGTGACATATATGAGTTTTAAAATTATTTTTGTGGTTCCAGGATGCAACAAAATTTTACAGTATTGATGGCGAGCTATTTGAATCTGTACCAGTCACGATAGAATTACTGAAGAAAAGAATAAAATTCTTTTGCGTGGATCCAGACTTCAAGATAAGCTGACCAGACAAATAAAGAACTAATGAAGCATTCATACATCTGGTGTGAAAGAGCACACACATCAATGTGAATATACATCAGCGTGTGATTGATTATCAATGAATGTATTAGACTATATGTACACATATTTTGTTGTCATATGACTGCCAGATGACCAACGTGTGACCATCAATATTGCCTGTTATATCATTAAGAACAAGTGAATTTTGTTCAGTCCAAGTAAGCTTATTTGATTAGTTGTTAGTGAAATGTTTTGTATTAATGTGACTTAAAATGTTAGTGTATGTAAAAGATCATTATAGAACAAGGGAAATTATTTTGCAGTTTTTTGTGGGTATTTTTTTTTTTAAATACTTCAATGTATGTAATAAACAGTGTGTATGTCAAATATTTCAACAGTTTTTTATTGGATATGATAACTTTCTCTTCAGAATTATTCATTTAAGGAACAGATTCTTCCTTACAATAGATACAGTGAAATGGATTGATGGTAACTGAAGTGTATAAAGTAGGTTTGAATATGTGGATATTGATACATATGTTGAGATTGTGTTAGCGACATAGACATAGGGAAACACTCGGGCAAATGCATCAAGAAAGCTCTTTCAGAGTACCAACACTACACGCTACATGGAAACAGTTTTCATGCATTTTCCACCTGCGCTTTTATCATGTTTGATAAACAAAACGCATGATGTGCCAGAACATTTTGTTGGTTCACTGTCACGTGTATATTTAATTTGCCATTTTATCATGAAATAAAAGACAAGATTAAAAGGTTTCCTGTTTATGTTTATTTCATGTTTGTGTATAATTGTACAAATATCGACCCACAATATCAACAAACTGCAGTACAGTGTACCATCAAAATTTAAATTAAAAAGAGAGAAGGAAAGAAAACAAAATTTAAGTTCAGGTATCTTACATGTTGTTTTTGGTCTCCTGAGACAATGTCTTATGGTCCTTGGCTTAAAGTGCAATAAAAAAGGTGAATTATATGGTCCCCATCCCATACGGGTCTGGGGGGGGGGGGGGGGGGGAGCCAAAAGCTTCAAATTTACCCAAATTTCAAAAATCTTGTTCTCAACACCCAGATATAGTAGAATCAAATGCTCTTGATGGAAGGAAACTCCTTAAGAAGGTTTACAAAAAATTGTGAATGTCATGGCCTCAGGGAATCACATTTCCCTGTTAGGATGGGGTAAAGTTTACTATGGTTCATAAAGCAAAAATAGATTTTTGAGTTTATTTGTCTATTTTCCATTGGAAATATTTCAAACTTCGAATTATGATCGAAGGATGTCAGCATGATGGTATGCCGGTATTGATCCCGATTGACCCCTCGGGGGCTGATGGGCAGGGCTAAAAGGGGTCAAATGGATGCGGATTTCAAAAATCTTTTAAACATCCAGATATTGTAATTTCAAATGCTCTTCATGGATGGAAGGGTCATAAGGTGGTTTACAAAACTTGAGAATTTACTTTATACTTTATATAGGGAAAATGGATTTTTGAGTGTGATTTGTTAAAGGACCTCTTTCACGAACAATGGAATTTTGCCCACGACCCAATTTAAGCATGTGGCATTTATAGCACCCCAAGACACTCCCCTGAAATAGCACTTTAAAAATTCAAAGGGCCCATAGGGCCTGAATTATCATAGAACTTGTGACATTTACTGAGGGTATAAGGTAAGGTTCAGAAATGGCACCATAACAAGGCAAGGGTTCGTCGCAAGGCTTCTTATAACTCTGGGTATACCAGTATGCGGATGATCTAAATTGAGGTCGGATTCAATCATGCCACAAGTCACAATCAAAGTACTATGTTTTGATCCAGTGTGAAACAACCGACTCAAATGATCCTATCAAGGTGTATTACTGTCATTGCCCTGCAGGGAATAGAACGTCTTGCATGTGTGTATATGTTGCATCAATGTTATACTACCTTGGCTGTTATAGCCATCAGACAAATCCTAAAATCCTCCAGTCTGCCAGTCGTAAATTCAATGAATCTGTATTGTAAATCAGTCATCCACTTGAGCCAGGTTGGTATAGTCTTATTCCTGTAGTTAAACGCGGCGATGCCTATGAAAATGGTGTATCTTAAAGAACTGATATGGGCCCTCCAAAGATGTTTTTTAGCCAATGTCATCTCCAAACTTTCTTTGTCTCGCTTTCATATTTTGAAGAACAAAAACAAAGATAAATATATCACAACATCATATCAATCACATGACGTCACTTTCGAGATTCTGACTGCACGCAATCAAGCTGCTAATTGACCAACTTACCGGTCACGAATTGTTTCAATTATATTAAAAGCGCTTAGGTGCACCGAAACCGGAAGAGTTTGAAACACTCCTCCTAAGATCAAACTTTGTTCTAAAAATTAAGAAAAAATCACATGCTTCGTCCGTCGCCGTCCACCGTGCGCTGTGCGTCGTCCGTAAACTTTTCATTCAAAAAACTTCCTAAATACTAGCAGGCCTAGGGGGCTAATACTTGGCCTATAGCATGCTGGCATGGAGCCCTACCAAGTTTGTTCAAATAAATGACCTCGACCCACTTTCTAGGTCACAGGGGTCAAATATGTTAAAATTTTTAAACAACCTCTTCTCAACAACCAAAATGCTCAGAATGCTGATATTGGGTCTGTAGCATGCTGGGAAGAAGGGATACCAAGTTTGTTCAAATGAATGACCTTGACTCACTTTCAAGGTCACAGGGGTCAAATGTGTTAAAATATACAAACGACTTCTCAATAAGCAAAAGTCCAAGAGTGCTGATATTGGGCCTGTAGGATGCTTGGAGGAAGGGCTACCAAGTTTGTTCAAATAAATGACCTCGACCCACTTTCTAGGTCACAGGGGTCAAATATAATAAATTTTTAAACAACCTCTTCTCAACAACCAAAAGGCTCAGAGTGATGATATTGGGCCTGTAGGATGCTTTGAGGAAGTGTTTCCAAATGTGTTCAAGTGAATGACCTTGACCCACTTTCAAGATCACAGGGTTCAAATATGTTAAAATCTGTAAACAACTTCTTCTCAGTAACCAAAAGGCTCAGAGTGCTGATATTGGGCCTGTAGGATGCTGGGAGGAAGGGCTACCAAGTTTATTCAAATGAATTAAGCCCACTGTTTTAACGGCAGACTCACTGTTGTTAGAGTTTGGCTTGCTTTTTTCAGATGACCGTTAAGGCCCATGGACCCCTTGTTCTTTATTTAATTGATCATAACTTTTTGCTTATGCTAAATTTGACAAATAGTGTTTGCTTAAAATGACAAATAGATTCCAATGAACAAAATAAGTGGTTATAAGAAGCCTTGCGATGAACCCTTGCCTTGTTATGGAACCATTTCTGAACCTTACCTTATACCCTCAGTAAATGTCACAAATTCTATAATAAGTGCTATTTCAGGAGAGTGAATTAGGGTGCTATAAATTTCAAAAGTCGTCTTCTCTCAGGTAAGGTCGAATCAAATGCTCTTCTAGCTTGAAGATGGAATCTTCTTTAGGTGCTTTAGTTATTTATCAATATGGTTCTCACATTTCCCGGATAGGAGGTTACTTTTACTACGAGTTTTTTCAACACTGGAAATAACTTTTTGTTAGATTCATTGGTAAGGATGACAGTTTTGATGGTATGCATCACGTGTCCATAAGAGGTGAAAAATTACAATTACAGTATTACAGTTTTTATATATATTAAAGTGTACCCTGAGAGGTCAGCTATGTTGACCTTGAAAAATAGTTCTGCACATAAAATACACAATGCCGAAAACGCGAATGCCGTGGAATGTTCCGTTACTGAGAAATTGCGACTTTTCTGAAAAACACACCTTTGGCTGAGAGGCGTTGACCTCGTTTTCGGGCACCCAAACCTGTGACGTCATAAGTTCAACGCTTTTGTTGATGCAGCCATATTGTCTTTAGTGTGCTACATGTGATTGTGATCTATTTTGGGATTTTCCGTGGTAATTTCTTTGTTTATTTACGTGAAAGTACTTCACATCTTCGCAATATCTAAGGTAGTGAACGAGGGGTCGGTGAATTAGCGCTTAAATCCGCAAAAATGGCTTCCTATCGAGGAGGGAAGCGGTGTGTATGGTTGTCCTAACACTAACACGGATGGGGTGTCGATGCATGACGTCGATAAATAAAACTGATTGTTGATTAAATAAAAGTATATTTGTTAGGTTGATATTTTGTTATTAATTTTACAACTAAACATTTTAAATTGATAGGCTAGCCTATGACTTGGGCGGTCATAGGAATATTATTCCTTCGTAATCGTGAACGCCTAATACTCGGAGAAGGCCTAGTCGTGAATGGGTCACGGGAATTTTCACCCCGAGAATTTTCATACTACTATTATATAGTATAGAATAGAATTATTAGAATTTATAGAATAGGTTATGTGTGTATGTTGTTTGTATAAGGTGTATTTGGTTTTTAGATCTTCCAGCAGACGATGTTGTTTAGTTATTAATTTTGCGATCGTAAAAATAACAATAAGATCACCAATCTTGATTTGAAAACACAGTTCACAGTGTAGAGAAGTCATCTAAACTCATAATCACACCTGTGCCAGGTTAGGTAATTAGCACCTCTGTGGCTGGAAAAAACAGTTGTGACACCTGTGAGGCGACACGCCTGTCGGCTAACAACAGACGCGTACCAGTGCTAGGGTAAAAACCAGTCAAATAATTGTTTAAACTTCTAAAACATCAAATTTTTATTATTAACACAGCGGAGGGTGTTATAATTGGTTGTTGACACCCTATCTATATATATCCATAGTGCTACGAAAATTCCCTGGAAAGAAAAATTCCCCTCGGACGAAACTTCTTCGGTAAGAAAATTCCCGACACCTCGTGAATGTATGCATAGTCTTGCACAAACGCGATTTCCCGACGTCAGAAATTGTTGATCGAGACTTGAAGATAGTAAAATTAGTCCAAAACCACACCCAATTTTATTTTGTTTCTTTGAAACGACAATTCACTGTTCGACTACTTTCACGACTACTGGTGAGACCCAGTGAAGTACGTGCCAATCTATGTTGCCCAAGCGATCGTCACTTTTCGAAGGGTCATTTTCCTCCTCACTGGATACATCGTCTTGTAATTCCAGTTCAAATCGGTAGGGCTGGATTCCGTCTTCAGACATATCATTCACACCATAATCAGACTCCTCAAAACTCATGCTCAAATCGCTCTCAGTTGCGGTGTCGTTGTCACTGTCAGTCATGTTGACTGCCATTTCTGTTGAACTTATGACGTCACGAGTAGAAGAGCCTCGATTCCGCGGAAATGACGATTCGGCTGATTAGGTCTGGGCGGACAGGTGAAAATCGACAACTTTGAGCTTTAATAACTCGACACTGGGGCGACGGATTTTGACGGGGTTTTCATTATTATTATTTTTACGGCATTCTTAACATTATATCTAAATATAAAATTACTCTCAGGGTACACTTTAAAACGTTTATTGTCAGAACATTGAATTATGGATACATGTATGGTCAACTGCCATTAACCTACATACAAGTTACCATCACCTGTATTCCAAAATGAGGCAAGTCAAAGCACTTTCTTTAAAAAATACGGAGGTCATTCATTATAGAAAGAAATGTTACCACATAATACAATTTATGTATATACAATGTTTATTTACAATTTTACATTGGAAAGTATACTTTATTGAAGAGTAAAGGTGGAAAATGTCTTTCGCCACAATAAAAAATGACGTATATACAATGTTCATGTAATTTA